ATATTCCCACTGTCTGTCTCTTCTCTCTATTTCTCTTTCTCTCTCTCTCTCTGTTAGACTCAAAGTCAAAGGTCAAAGTTGATTCATGCTCATACAGGAGTGGTGTTCTCATCCGTTTAAAAATAAATGGTGGGCTCCATCCAGTAATGAGTATTTCAGATTCCTATGACCGAGAGGAATACAAACTAAGCTAAACTACTGCATTTTTATTTTACCAGGTAAGGCCCACTGAGCTAGTAACTTCTTTTATAGAAGTGACCTGGTACAAAAATGATAGCTCAACGAAGTGGCTTATCGCGTTGATATTTATGGCAGCCAAATACTTTAAACGGACGTTTATAAATGTGGAGGCAAAAAAAACAGAAGACCTGGAAATAACCAACGCGACCATGGGGAGAACATTCAAATTCCAAATATACAGCAGGCGTCAGGGTCGGGATCGAACCCACAACCTCCTCCGTACCAGACGAGGTAGTTAACATCTCGCCACCGATATTATCATCAGCAGCAGCACTGAACTATCCACTGCTCACGGTCTCACGATACCAACAATCCATCTATCTCCTTGCACGTGAGATCATTGCATCGCTCCATCTCCGTGGTGGGATGTGTTCTCGAGCGCCATGTCAAATCGCTGTTGACGTTTCACAAGTCGGTACTGATTTGATCGATTCCCAACGGATGGAAGGATTTGAATTAATAACTTTCGGTTATGTGTTAGTCAGCCGGATATACATTACGAATGCAAATTAATAGTGCTTTACATTTGACCATTTAAAAAATTATATTAGGGGTGTTACTATTATATGTTTTAAAGTAGTTTTTATTATTATCATGTGTGTCCATATTAAAGTCTCATTAACGTGTGCCATCAGCATCGTCGATATGATTTAAACATATTGAAATTAAAACGGGGGGAAAGAGAGAGAGAGAGAGGAGGAAAAGCATCACATGCATAGAACGTGAAGTCTGTAAAATAACGTGCGAAAATGAAAAGAGCAATCCGAAAATTGCAAAATGGGGCATGCGTTCATTATGCCATTTAGCCCGAATGGGACATGCAGAGCACGACTCTTCAATCGCTAAGTGCTGCGCCGTTAGATCAGCGAAGCCTCTGCGCAGATGTTTAACGTGACTCCCCCCACCCCCAATCACGTCCTCGCACTGGCCGCACGTGACGGAGTCCGCTTGCATAGTGCCCAGGCGCTCATGACCGTTGGGTCGATAAGCGCATTTGACAGACGACACAAGTGATGCGGCTGATGCAAACGTAGAAATTCATAGTTGTCGCGACAAAATCGCAGAAAATAGCTGACAGCATAAATGTATAAAGATTTATATATGGTGACGTGGAGCTATGTTAAGGGCGGTCAAAGCTCTCTCTCTCTCTATGCCGCTGTACTGCCATTGAACTAAGCCCCTGCGTGGATTCATTGTGTCAGAGTGGGTGACGTGTGTCAGAGGGTAAGGATAATATATTTTTTAAATATATATTTTTTAAAAGCCTTTTTTCATGTCGCCAAAAATGGATGCACGTGTCTAAAAGCTCGGGGCGGTGTAATTTTCACGAAAGCCTGTTCCACGTTATTACTACATCCGTCATTGCATCTCAACGTACTCTCCGTGAGAGGCGGTCGTCGCTTCGGGGCGGCCTTTATCCAGCAGTAGATTGATCATAACTGATTATGACGATGTTCCCAATGATGCCCTTCATACCAGAACAATCCAGATTACGGTTCCGGTATTAATATTAATGCGCCACATCCATTTAACTTAACTGGAACCTCTTACTTTATCCTCAAATAAGATTATACGAATATTGGGCACAATAATAAAGGATCGTTAGCGGTAGACCGTAGACGCACCGTGTACTCTATGTTGAAAATCCCTACTCCAAGCCAGCTTAACAGAGTTACAGAAAATAATCGAATCATCATAAACAGAGTTTACAAATGCCTCCCCTCTCAAATTCAATTTATGCATGAAGAGGTAGTCACTCCTCCCCCTCTGCTGCACCCACAGTCTGGAAGTGCCTTGCTTTCACTCGAGAATGTATGACACGATGGGTTTGTTTGAATACTGAACGTTCAAATTGATGGGTGGTACGGTGGTGGAGTGATAACACTTGTGCCTCACAGAAAGAAAATCCTTGATTCGATTCCGGACTCAGGTGCCTGTGTGTGTGGAGTTTATATGTTCTCCCCTTGATTTGTAATGGCTTTCCTCTGGGTTCCCCACTTTCCTCCCATACCTATGTAATGACCGACTTTCCACGACACGTCATATAGAGGGTACTTCTTTATTACTCACACTGGGAACAATACAGGCCAACACCGGTTCTTCCTCCCACTGAATATACTCTAGGCAGTAACACCTCTACCAGCTACACGCACAGCCGATCACTCGGCATGGTCCCTTCGCCCTCACTCGTCTCCGGTGCCGGCTGGCGGCGTGACGATGACGGCGATGGACCCCCACGCAGGAGATCTTCCACGTGGCCGGACGAGGGAGAGAGATGTCAGTGAACAGCGACGCATCCAGGACCCCACACACACACGAGCCCCGGGTCTGCTCCCCCTTATATCCTTCCAGGCGTGGCTAGGCCCCGCCTCCGGCCACGCCCTCTCGTGGAACCTTCGAGGAGGTTCCCGGAGTATCCCGGCTAGCGCCACCTGTTACCTTTGCCCCAGATACACCTTCTTCTCTGATTGGCTGTTACCTCTGTGGCCGTACCCGTGAATCCCTTCCCATTCCAGCAGGTGTAACCCTGTCATGTCAGCAGGTGTGACCCTGTCATTACACCTACAATTTTTTTTCTCAATGTAATGAAATTTTTTGCCAAACATACCAATGCTGAAAATTTTCCCGTAAAAAACCCAACTGAGATTGTACACAGCAGCGGCACTGCCACCAACTGTGAATACATGGTAGGACCCTCCTGAAAATAAAATAAAAGGGCTTCTCTCGGTAAACAGGCACAAAAATATACATTAACCAAATCTATGTAATATCAACACAGTGCCGATATACGGTGTCATATGTGATGTTGGATCAAACCAATTTGTGTGTGTGCATAAGGTCAAATTATTAAAATGAATATGTAATGAATTTGCGTAGGAGTTGGTGAATCAAATAAGAAACAAACATGATTACTTTTCAATTGGTTGTTTGTTCATCACTGTCTGTGAATAGAAAAAAAGTTTATTCCACAGTACTGCGTATAGTATATCTCTGTTATAAAAGCCCAGCATTCAGTGTGTCTGTTTGTCCATCAACTGAATTATGAGAGCCTTTCAGAGGGCCTGAATCAAAAAGTTATAGAAAGTGGATCCGGCCAGATGTCGGGGTAAAAAGTTGATCCAACAGAGTTACAAAATTGTTCAAACCCCCCCTCCCCCCCCCGAAAGAAAAAAAAGTGTTTGGTAGTCCTATATGCCTACACACCCTACATAAAATAGAGTCAGAAGTATCTGCACACATGGGGGGAGAAGAGGACTTCAGTGGAGGCGACAGGAGAGGTGCGAAGCGTTGAGAAGCCCCTCCTCTGCCAGCAGTCAGTTCAAAATTGATTCGCTCGTGTTGGTCGGTTGAAGTGAGTCGCTCTGCGTGCTTCGTTTAATCAGATCTAATACACCAATTATGTAGACATGAAATATGAACGGCTTTGTACGGGCGGCCAGCTAGGTGAAGTTGGGAAGCATTATACTGGGAGGAACCTCCTGGTTACACCAGCCCACAGGGGATTATTGTGTCCGTCCGTCCGTCATGCATCCAAAAAATGGGTGGGGAGGGGCTGGGTGGGGAGGGGAGGGTGGGGAGGGGCTGGGTGGGGAGGGTGGGGAGGGGCTGGGTGGGGAGGGTGGGGCTGGGTGGGCAGAGGAGAGTGGGGAAGGTGGGGAGGGGCTGGGTGGGGAGGGGCTGGTCACCCCGTGGTGCCCTTATAAAACTAAACGTTTAACCTACTCACGCCGGCTTGTGCCCGCCCTCACAGTCGGGCATATTTGCGGAATACACCACGTGGTGCCGCCGTTGACCCTGGCCATTGACCGAGCAACCCAACGTTCCTACCAGCTCCCTCCGCAGGAATGTGTTTCGCTGTTGAGCATAGTACATCCCAACAATGGAGTTGGCTGCACTGCACACAAACGTAGAACGGAAGCAACAGCAGGGCGCAGCCTGTAACACCTGTTATGCACGACGACATAGGTGAGCAGACAATGCCTCCATGATATTTGTCTCTTCACGTAAAATAACATTTCCGACAACCCATCGGCTCAGCGGCCAATGATTTTTTATTTTTAATGATTGATAATTTGATATTTTCTGTTCGGTTTTATATCCATTGTTTCAGTTGCAGTTTCATTTATTAGGTATAGCCCTGTGAGCCATGCGGCTCTTGAATCGGGTGCAACCGCAACAAACAAAAACATGAACAAGAAAACATCTTAAAGTGACTGCGCGCAACAGAAAAATCCAGGAAAAAACAGCAAAGTCTCCTAGAAAAATAAGGGCGGTGGAGGGGGGGGGGGGGTGGAGGAGGGGGTGAAAGGGGGGTGGAGGGGGTGGAGGGGGGGGGCTGGGGGTGGAGGGGGGGTGGAGGGGGTGGAGGGGGGGTGGAGGGGGGGGTAGAGGGGGGTAGAGGGGGTGGAGGGGGGGGGCTGGGGGTGGAGGGGGGGGTGGAGGGGGTGGAGGGGGGGGGTGGAGGCTGGGGGTGGAGGGGGGTAGAGGGGGTGAAAGGGGGGTGGAGGAGGGGGTGGAGGAGGGGGTGGAGGAGGGGGGGGAGGAGGGGGGGGAGGAGGGGGAGGGGGGGAGGAGGGGGAGTGGAGGAGGGGGTGGAGGGGGAGTGGAAGAGGGGGTGGAGGGGGAGTGGAAGAGGGGGTGGAGGGGAGTTGCGGTGACGTAATGACGTAATGACGTCACCCAAAAAAACGCGAATCCAATGACGACACCGCGCATCCGGAGCGCGGCGGCACGTAACCAGCACAGCAATGCTCCTAACGACGTCACGTCTCTCCGCTAAAAAAAAGTTACGAGATTTTGACGTCACCGCGAGGATTCGTGTGCGTTGCTTCCACCCCCCTCCCTTCTCTCTTCCTCTCCCGTACGCGGAAGGGAGGGAGCCCGGAGCCGCCTCTCTCTCTCTCGCTGCTCTTCTCATCTCACCGTGTGATCGTGGGCCCGGGGATCGCTGCGAGAGTGAAAGCGGCCCCGGGGGTTGTCAGCTTGAGCAGCGGGCGAGCGTCCGTCCGCTTCCGTCTCTCCCCTCCCCACCCCGTTCGAGGTGAGGCCACAGCCGACGCCATCCTCGAGAGCCGAGGCGAGGCCCTGCGAGGCGAGCGGAGGAGGTCGCAAGCCTGCATCCATTCTGGAGGAGGAATCCGATGAGCTGTAAAGCTCTTGTTTGTAATGGGGGGGGGGGGGGGGGTGGCGAACGGGGTCGGAACGTCACGACGAGAACGACAAAAAAAAAAACACGATAGGAGGTACAAAAGTATAGGGAAGGTAAACAAAGCGCTTAACAAATACACAGAAATAAAACCAAACTATGTTTAGTTTTTTTGTTTGTTTTAAATCTTCGTACAAGCTAAAGGCCAATGAGCTCATTCGCCCAATACGGTGTGTTGGTGGGGTGGAGATGCTGTTTTGCTGTACGTGTCTTCTCGGAGTTTGTGAGCCCTCATCGATTCCCATTGATTGCAACGGCGGAGTACAATTATGAATCGTCGAGGCATTAAATGCAGTGCGTTGTAACGTCAGTCACTTTTGGCCTTCATCGTTAATTCCGACGCTATCTCGTTTCTCTCGCTCCGTCTCCCTCCCTCCTCCACCCGGTTCTCGGTTATCCTTGGTGCGCGAGGCCTTGTGTTGCTTGAATCAGCTGATGGGCACGTGACCACCGCCGCCGTCATCACGGTGACCTTAGCACGGGGTCACCACCCTGCTGGTTAGCAATGCGTTAACCTACACTCACCCGCCGCCGTCATCACGGTGACCTTAGCACGGGGTCACCGAGGGTTACCTGCTGATCACCAATACGTTAACCTACACTCACCCGCTGCCGTCATCACGGTGACCTTAGCACGGGGTCACCACGGGTTACCTGCTGGTCACCAATGCGTTAACCTACACTCACCGCTGCCGACATCACGGTGACCTTAGCACGGGGTCACCACCCTGCTGGTTACCAATGCGTTAACCTACACTCACCGCTGCCGTCATCACGGTGACCTTAGCACGGGGTCACCGAGGGTTTCCTGCTGGTCACCAATACGGGAGGGGAGGGTGGGGAGGGGCTGGGTGGGGAGGGTGGGGCTGGATGGGCGGTGGGAGGGGTGGGGCTGGGTGGGGAGGGGCTGGTCACCCCGTGGTGCCCTTATAAAACTCAACGTTTAACCTACTCACGCCGGCTTGTGCCCGACCTCACAGTCGGGCATATTTGCGGAATACACCACGTGGTGCCGCCGTTGACCCTGGCCATTGACCGAGCAACCCAACGTTCCTACCAGCTCCCTCCGCAGGAATGTGTTACACTACAATTCACCCTGTCCTTATCATCATCATCAGACATGGTCTATCCACTGCTGGATGAAGGCATTCCCAGGCCACCGCCGTCTACTGAACATCTGTGAAAAAAGAGCTTCATAGCTCATCGGATTCCTCCAGTATAAATAAATATCCTGGTTCTGATTTTTCGCGGTCCTTGGATGTAACATTTTATTAGTACATGCACATACTCCGATTTCGTCCCTCCCATTTATGCGGTGGTGCGGATTCTCAGTGACGTTCCTGCCATTGGCTGTCTCAAACTTGCGTGTGTCCTCTTGTCCACGTGCTATTCTATCTGCGCCCCCGGTGTCATTCCACGCGTGCACCTTTTCACCATCCTCCTCCGTGCGCTTTTGTTCCATTCGCTTTGTCCACGTCCAACTTTTTGACCCACGCGAGAGAGCAGTCGATGCACGCGGTCAATAACAACTGTCGAGGTATCTTCCGGAGGAACAAAGTGGAGTACTATAATAATTGGGGTTTTCCCCCTTTTTTCTGGCAACAAAACTGAAACCTTTTTTTACGAGGATTCATGTCTGCATTAACCACAATACCTGCAGTCAAAATGCAAACAAAAAAAAATACTATGATAATATATGCATTTTCCTTGAAACTGATTGGTCCACACCAAGGGACGGCTTTCTATTATGATATTTTGGTACTGGCAAAGGCGAAAGTGGAGTACTGTCGTACGTGATAGCGAGGGCAATTATTGAAGGTGGAACGGAATCGAAATGATGAAATATCGAGGTGGGTGACAGTAGTGTCGGAGTTCTTTTGTAAAACTTTATTTAATAGTGAAAATCATCCTACCAATGTGCTTAAAAAAAATTCTTCATCTGGCTCTTCCTAACTATCACCATACATCACCTGCTTTAATAATTCCACACGATTGGTTAATGCAGCCAAGGGTGCAGTGATGTGGATGAGTGGGTTTGGGTTACAACGGGACATCACAACCCTCTCTGATGGTAAACAGCAACAGCTTAAATCTACAGCTGGGCAGGGGGCGTGGGGGGTTACAAGGTTCTTTTTCCAGGGGTGTGCGATGCAGCGGCTCTTTTGACCGCCCTCCCTTCCCCTTGCTCTCCCCCCCCCCTCCTCGCCTGCACAAATCCCTGATCTTTTTTTTGCCCGGCCGAGCTTTACCTCTCCAATGCCAACTGCTGCCGTTTAATTTCACTTGAGGCTCCCCCCCCCCCCGTGCCGGGCAGCTTGGAGAGCCGAACAGATTGCCGCGTTCCTCGCCAACCGTTTCGTACACCCGAGTGTTGTGTCGCTTTTTATTACACCGAGTGGAGAGACGCAGAAGTTGCGCGCGTTAGCCTTCTCGTGAGGCCAACGTGGCTGTTTAATAACAACGCGCCAAGGTGGCACGTGTGTACTGGTGCAGCACGCAGTGTTACGGGTACAGGCAGCCAATATTCTCTCTGACGTATTCGTTGTCTCGGGCTCTCGTTTTTGCCCGAGCCATTAAATAGGCATACCCGATCATGTGACCATCTAAATTATGTCGTGCATGATGCATTCGTTCATATGCATGGCACACATTAACTTATTATGTCATTGAGGCAGGGAGTTGGGTATTGACGAGTCCATGCAAGAGCATGAAGATGGCGAGTGAGATCTTGAAATTGATATGGAATTTGATTGGGAGGCAGTTGAGGATTGAGGTATCGTGGTCTCGTAATTAGGCTGCGGGTGAGGAATCTTGACGGCATTTTGGATCAATTCGACGTTGGAGACGAGGGATTTTGTGAGACCTTTAGAGGCGAGAGGTAAGCAGATGGACAGAGCTAACGAACGCTAGTTGGAAAGTGTAATACAAAAACAAGTGGGGGTATTGTCACCAATGGCTGCCGCGCGTATTTGTCCCCCGCTTGAACGGTGTTTCCCTTCCCCAGGCGGTAATCATGGCGCAGCTCGGCGCGAGCGGCGGTGCTGGCGGGGAGGTGCGCGTTGCTCCGGCCGTGGCGCGCCAGTGGTGCGGCGGCGGCGGCGGCGGCGACGGTGGCGGCGAGGCGCAAGTTTACCGCGTGCCGGTGGTACAGCCTGACCTGCGACGGGAGGAGACGGTGCAGCACATCGCCGATGCGCTCGAGGCTCTCTCGCGCATCTCCATCGACATTTTCTCACGGTGAGCCGCGTCTGTCCGTCCGTCCGTTCGTCCGGCCGTCCGTCCGCCTGCCTGCCGTCTCCGTCAGCATTCCCCGGGCGCCGGGGAATGTTGTTTCCTTTTGATGATAGGAAGCCGCTTGGGAGCTGTGCGCCTTCAAGTCATCTGGATTGAAAGCTGATTTTTTTAGAACTGATTTTTTTGTGTTTTTGTTTGTTGTCCTTTCCCCCCACCCCGCACCTCCACTTATCACAGTTGGCTACGTACGGTGTGAAATAAGTTTGTACGTACATACGTACAATCTAACGTGCTGTCTGCGAATGCGGCACCCATCTATGTTTGCGTGCCCAGTCACGTGGCTGTCCTTCCATCCATTCTTTGGGAATTCTATCCATCGATCTATCCGTTTGCCTGTCAATCCACCCGGTGGTTCATCCTTCCTACATTATTTATATCCCTATGCGACATACTTGTGGTCCGTTTCTCTGTCTATCCACTGACTGTCAGGTGTCCATCTGCATGACAATTCCGTCCTTCTATTTGACATTTTGTCCTTCACTTTCTCTGTCCCATTCTCCTTTGCACGGCTATCTATGCGACACACTGTCTTCATGTCTGTTAATTAATGCGCGTGCATTCGTTGCAATGTTTATCCGTCTTTCCATCAAAATGTCTGTCTGTTTATCTGTCCTTGCCCTTGTGTATGTCCATCTGCAATATCCATCTCGTGGCGTGTAATGATTCATTGCTCAGGTTTTCCATCTTGGCAGCCATCAATCATTCAATCCATATATATACAGTCAATCCTTCTCGACCATCCATCTAGTCCATTTATCCATTCAATCTATTCTCAATAAATCTTTGGGTGCAGGCACTCAACATCTTCCATCCACCCCTAGCCGCTCGTTAACTTTATCTTCAGTTAATTGCTTCCAACCTGTCTCTAAACCCGTCCTTTGAAGCCCATTTGTCCAATTTTTCGGCAATTTGTAATTTGTTTTACTTCGAATCGGAATGGGGGGGGGGGGGGCGGTGGGAGCATGTTGAGATAATGGGTTTTAATTTTGCACGGTGGATTTGGGTGTCAACAAAAAAAACAACATGTGCAGGTAATAAAAACAATGAACGCTAATAGGACAGACAGTAGGCATGAACAGTGCGACGCCGTCTGCTTTATTAAGAGCGCCGCGGACATCTCGTAAGGACGCAATTGGATTCGACAAGAAATGTAGCGAAAGCATAAACAAACGTGAAATGCTGCATCTGGTGAATATTTCCGAGTGTGCGGATGGGGAGGAGTCACGTGAAATTGTTTGAATGGCTTAATGCCAAATGCAATGGATGTGGACAAAAGCAATAACCAAGGTTAACGGAAGGTAGTTGGTTTGCTTGTATGGAGTTGTGGAACACGTCAAAACAATGAATTTCGATTTAAAGCTTTCGTGACTGCAGGGATTCATATTCTTGGTTCTTTCGGTAAAGTCACGTAGAAGGGAAATAATAAGAATAAAACATAATAAAATAAAATTCTCACGACGTTTCGGCCACAACGCAAGCAGCCGTCCTCGGTTGAAGAAACAAGCAGCCGTCCTAATATACGCTGTCTTTCCGACAGCTCTGTTTCTTCACGTGAGGACGGCAGCTTGCGTTGTGGCCGAAACGTCGTGAGAATTTTATTTTATTATGGTTTATTTGAATTATATTATTATTTCCCTTCTACATGACTTTACCGAAAGAACCAAGAATATCAAAACAATGGTGAAGTTTAAAACGAAACTTTTTTTCTTTGCTGTTTTTATTTTACCAGATAAGGCCCGCTGAAGCGACCTGGCCACACATGATAACGTGCCGAAGTGGTTTATCACGCGGAAATGTATCGCAGCTAAACAATCTAAACGCACGTTGATTCTAGAATGTGCAGGGAAAAACCGGAGGAGCCGGGGATAAATCCACGCTACCACGGGGAGCGAGAGATGCAAACTCCTCATGTACAAGCGCCAGGGTTGTGATCGAACCCGTGACCTCCTGTGTATACCAGGCGAGGCAGTTACCGCCTCGCCACCTTGGCGAGGCGGTAACTACCATGTGCTGGAAGCTTTTAAGACTTACCAATTGAATGCTGGGGGAAGGAACAAGAGCATTGACAATTACAGCATGAGACGTTTAAAGCTTCATCCTGAACACGGGCATGAGATTTAATCCCTCGTATCGTTTGTGCTACTGTGGCTTTTATGACACCCACATCGATTATGTGTAGCCACTGCAGTTAATGATATACATGGAGCGGTTTTTTTTCTCCTCTGAACTCATTTCCATGACCAGTTTCATTGAATCTCTGTGGTTGTTGGTGATTGGGGGGAGGGGGGTGGGGTAATATAGTTTAGATTTTTGAACCTTTCTTTGGAGATGTCGAAAGTCTCATCGTATTCGTCAATATCGGTTCTTCGTCATGTACGTGCACGTATGTCTGTTTAAAAGAATCGCTGAAAGCCGCTTTCAGCTGTGGTTTCCCATCAGGAGGCTGATTGATAAATATGGGTGGTTTGTTTCTCCATGGTATTGCATCGGTTGAATGCCGACAATAATATTTTACAGTCCTTTGTCAAGCCACTGTTGGATGAAGGCCTTCCCGCGCCATGTTTGATAGTTGTTTGACCATACTTCACCACTATGGTTGGTTCGGGTCGGAGAATGTTGGTTTCTATTTTTAAACGATTTTTTGTATTTTTCCAGGTAAGGCTCCACTGAGCTCTAGAGCTCTTTTTTTCAGAAGTGACCCGGCCACAAATTATAGCTCAACGCAGTGGCTTATCACGTGGACATTTATAGCAGCCAAATACCCTTAGGCGCACATTACTCAATATGGGATGGAAAAAACGGAGGGCCCGGAGGAAAATCGACGTGGCCACGGGGAAAGAGAAATGCAAACTCAAATATACAGCAGGCGTCAGGGTCCGGATCGAACCCACGACCTCCTGCATACCAGGCGATGGAGGTAACATCTTGCCACAGCGGTTGCCCAGGGCCAATTTCAATATCACTTGCCACTGATGTTGGCCACAATTGGGTATCAGATTTATGTCTCCGGGCTCATGGTGCAGTGTGCCAACCACCGTGCCCACGACTCCACCACCGCCAGCATTCAATCTTCCTCCCACGCTGCGGCCTCCGTCAACGAAGCCGCGAAGCCAAACCGTACAGAACCTCGTCACGGCTGCTTCAGAGATGATTTATAAACGCCCCCCCCCCCCCCCCCCCCCCCCGCATCCAGTCGCACAGAATCCGTCATCATCTTGGCTCTCTGTTACCAATTAACGATATACCACTTCTTTCCCCTTTAGCAGTCAGCCACCACTTAGGTTGGACATTTCTGTATAATTACTCGCAATTACAGCCCACGCGGCTTTAGCGGGCGGGCAAGTGTCTGGTGCAACGAGCGAGAGAGCGCCCCCCCCCGTGCCCGTCAAAAATTGGCTAGCGTAGGTGGCAGCTCGCCGTGACGGTCGTCGGCGGTTGCGACGATGACGACGCTGACGACGACTTGATCGTGTCGACCGCTGCACCGCTTCCAAACAACAACAACGACCGAACAGCGACAGGAATCCTCCTGAGATTTTCCAGATCACCCAACCCCGCATTGATCACGGTAATTATGTAATGGTTACCTCGAGGAGTAAATGCGTCGGTGATTAATGCGGCCGATTAAGATTTAATGTCTCGCCCCTTAATGACGTTGTTGATAGATTGGGTTTGTTTATTTCTAATTGTTTTTTTTTTTAAGACATTTGCCTTTCCGCAATATTTGTTAGTACCTAATGGACTCCCCGGCGAGAAGAGTTTTTTCACCGCAGGGAAAAAAAAGCCGTAATTCGAACGATATCGACCGCCCCACCCCCTGACGTACGTGGTGCATGCAGTTTACAAATGTACGATCGTTACCTTTCGCGGAATAATTCATAGCCAACTTAAATTGTGAGCAAGTAATTTTCATGCAAAACGAGAGATAGAAAGCATAGGTCTTCTTCCCGAACGTGCTGTAAAGTGTGTTCAGTTGATCATCGGTTATCCGGCACCTCGCGATTATAAGGCTGCCAACATCCGGCAGTCCCGGTGCTGATCCGGCGAAACCGGCAAATCTGCTCCGGTCCGGCGATCGGTACCATGTGCGTGACAAAAATTTAGCTATGCTTGATTTTAGTGTCATATATTACATACAGTACATTATACACTACATACAACTGAAACAATGAAAATACGGCACGTGTATACATCACCCGTGCACCGTATTTACGGGACAATAAACACGGTAACTTTTGACAATGGGATATTTATTTTTTATCTTTGTACGTTTATCGATGTCAATTTCATATAGCAAACATAAAAAAAACACGCGGAAAAATGTACAAAACAAACCTAAAACGTAATGTTTCGCAAGAATGTGCAAAAGTAAGCTATCTGCATAAACAAAGACCTTGATCTGTACGTCTCAAAAACCTCCATGGTTCTTCCCGACAAGGTAGAGAGCTGAAATTTGGTACGTAGGTAGTAGTAATTTCAGAGACGCTAATAGTAGGAGGCACACACGTTTATTCTACAGTTCCACAGTACAGGGGACAACTGCACCCGGGTCAGGACAGCCGACACACTGCCTGACCCACAACGCCGAGGAGGTGAAGACTTGGACGAAGACTTGCGTAGTTGATGGGTTCCATTCCAAACGACAGCAGCCCCGACCCAGCGTCGGGACCTCCCTTTTATCCTCCCCAGCGTGGCCTGGCTCCGCCCTCGTCCACGCCCCCTTCTGGAACCTACCAGAAGGTGTTCTGGGCTTCGCCCCACGTGTCCCCTCTGTCACCTTTACCCTACATCCCGCACCCCGGCCTATCACGTGCCCTGCTGGCAGACTGGGCTACTACACCCACAATCCCGCTCTCTACCAGTAACCAGCGCTACGTGCCCTATTGACCCATTCTATGTCACTATACATAGGTAGCTTTTAGGACACAACAGCACAAATCTGA